GGTGAGAAGGCCAGAGAGTACTGCATTACAATAGTCAATACGAGATGTAACAAATGTATGGCCCAAGACGTCAGTGCTGGACTGGGACACTGATGGGCAGAGTCTAGAAATGTTGCGGAGGTGAAAGAAAGAAATGTTCACATTGCACATCTGTGCAATACTAAATAACATGTATTGCACATGACACTGCTCAAGCAGGCGACTAGTGAACCGACTGAGCCATTACTGAACTGCTGAATGAATGAGACAAATCAAAGTCTGCTTATACCTTTTAGCATCAGATACTTCTGATGACTTAGAGTAGTTGACAATAGTGCTATTATAGTATGAATGCCTAGTAAAAGCACCAGATGGCACCATAAACAGTTACTATTAGGACCAATATGCTGTGCACTAAGAAGAAGAATTCAAGTGTGGTTCAAGTAAAATCACCAAATAGTCTTCTAATCCTAACTCATCCCCTTTGTCATTCTCAGTCTAGAAGACTGCTACTCTGTCTTGCCAAGGCTTCAAAATGTTTCTCCAGCCTGCACAATTGTTAAATCATCTGACGTTCATCCTTACACACTCTGGTACAACCAGATAGGGGAGAGCGGGGTCGGTTGGGACACTTTTGTATTGACACAAAATAACTTTTCATTATTCAAAGACCACTTGAATGGTAACGAAAATTATATGATTCCTGAACAGATACAGGTGTCTTTTAACAATATTTAATTTTTTTAGAGCTCTACCCAAACGTGAAAGGCACAATTTTGTTAAATGTATACGGAGTGCATTTCCCCCAAAAGTCAACCTGCCCCAGACAATTAGGACAGTGCAGGGTCAGTTTGGACACCTTGTTTTGAGCTAAAAAAATAATAAAAAAAAAAAAACAGTCTAAACCAAACAGTTTATCCAGGAAATCAAGGGTAAACAGATTTATGAGCTATGATATAATCTGCTGTTAGCAGAAAACTATCATTCATGCCTCCTAGAGTGTAGCAATTCCCCTCTGCAGCACAGGGGTGTGTGAGGAGGGCAAAAAGGGTTTCTGACCTGCTGCAGCTTAAATAAACACTCAGTGACTTCACAGAGGGTCTTATTCAATTAGGAAAAGCCTTTGTCTTGTTTTGCCACTTTTTTTAACAAGGTAGGAACTACCCCAGCAGTGTTGGGCTTGTTACTCCAAAAATGTAATATATTACTCATTGCTCGTTACTCTTTTAAAAAGTAATAATATTACATTCCTTATTACTCCCTGCCAACAGTAATTCATTACACTATTTGTCATATTACTTTTCCATTGCACCCCATAAAATTGATAGTTCTCCCCAAAATCCAGATGTATGCCTCTGTGTGAATGTCTGGGTGATTGCTGGTAAATGTAGCTAAGGCTCCAAGCAAATGATTTGTTGTTTTTTTTGTACCTGGGGGTCTTCAGCTGCCTGTGACCAGTATTTTCCAAAGGCTCCGCCTGAAAGCCAGAGACTCACTTGTCGAGAAACATTTCATTCACAAAATATGCAGCCACAAGCTTCATCACTTCTTTGTAGCCTGCAGCTGTCCACAATTAAAATCCAGTTTTGGTTGTTTAGCCAGTGTGGCACTACAGCCAACCTCCATGGCCGAGGACTGCTCACCTTTAGTGGGGTGTATTTCCTGGAGCTTCGCTTTGTTCTGCTGTCGGCTGTAGTCTGTATTTCAGACTGGAGGTATCAAGATGTGTTTTTTTTGCAGTGATAAAGAGTTTTATTATGACTACCAATATGACTAACTGCCTCAGCCTATGAATCAAGCCAAATACCTGTCTGTAATGCATGGGAATTGAGGCAAATGTCTGCTCAAGTATATCTGAACAAAATCATAAATACTGTGTCTCGCAGCTTAAAAGGCACTACCTGACCCTGCTTGCTTTTCTCTGTAATCATCCTCACTGATTGTGGCAATTACACTGTTTAGGACCGTAGCTTAGAAACAGACAAGTGGCATCAGATCTAAAATTAGGTACTGGATATGTCAAATAGACTTGCAAGGTAATGCAGAAAATGGTGAAAACTAATCAGTTTTTGTCTCATCTTAAATCATCTTCTTCTACCTTTGACAAAATCACATTTAAGTATTGGTGAATAAAATAACAAAAAGAAGTTATCCAACATTTGAGCACCAGGCGTGAAAGGATGAATCCCATCACATCTAAAAATATGAAGTGTTGCCTGCAGATTGAACCCTTTCAGAGGCGAATATGAAAGAAATCTCTGTCAGGTTAAAGGCCAAGGGACTGGATGATACACTGTCTCCAATTTGATGCATTTTTGTGACAAAGCAACAGTACCTCAATTCAGACCATGTTACCCTTTGGGATCAAAAGGAACATTTGACTCTCACAAGTTTTCTTTTTACTTTGATGTTCTTTCAGTTAGAAAAACTAATTAAAGAAACTCATTATGAATCACCTGCATTTGGTGGCAGCAGTCAAAAGCACTGGTAGTCTGTTTAATCACACACCTGTCAATCTCCTACAGTTATAAAGCACTACCTTCACCATAAAGGGAAGATGAAGGGAAGGAGCTAACAATCTCTGGTGGACGAAAGAAAACCTAGCACCATTAAGCTACTAAATGCCAAGGTTAGTTGCAAACATAACAATGATAAAATATTATTCACAGGAAGAGCAATCTTGGGACTGAAAGAAAAAGGCTTTTTTCGTGTAAATGGAAATCTATCTATCTAGCCCAGGGTTTTTAGTCCTCAATTAATTCTGAAAGTGATGCAACAAAAAACGGGTGAAATCACCTCTTTTGGCCACAAATGAACATTAAGAATCTGGTGGGAAATTAACAAATAGGAGGCTTGTCTTCACACCCCGTTGAGCCCAAGCAAAGGTGTGTAAAAACAACCACCGGAAGGCATTATGGTTTAACTTAAAGACACAGACAACCATTCACACTTACATTCACATCTATGGCCAATTTAGAGTCGCCAGTTATCCTAGCCTGTATGTCTTTGGATTGTGGGAGGAAGCAGGAGAACCCAGAGAAAACCCACACCGACAGGGGGAGAACATGCAGGCTCCACACAGAAGGGTTCCCCCACCCCGGGGGTCCAACCTCCCACCCAGGGTTTGAAACAGGAACCCACTGCACCACAGTGCTGCCCAACTGGGGTTAGTTATTTCACAAATAGAGAAAGATTAAAAAAAAATATTATTAAAACTAGATAGCATCTTGGGATGGCATCACTCAGCTGCAATACAGTGATCTATCACTTGAAGCGTATGTAAGAAAGGGTGGAAACTGGGGGGGCCAATCGCCCCTTCAGTACCTCCTAGCACCTTAGTTCCAGTCCCTTTGTTTGGACCATATCCATCTTCAAACTCAGCCTTTATTCTGATCTAAACTACACATTTGTAAAGTGTCGTGACTGTGTCTCTCATGGTTTCAAAATTTGTTTTTGCTGCTGAGTCAGTTTTACATCCTGAATATATGCTTCACACACATATTATAGACCTCTCTGTCTGCTTCTCTCTGAAATCGCTTTTTCATGTTACCCAAAAATTTGATAATATTTAATCAGGAAGTGCAGTTAGTTATAGTGTGGGCTCCATGCTAGCTCTGACAGCTTGAGCATCACAAAGGGCGTGGCATAGCATTGGTGTCACCAGGACCACCCAGAGAGTGGTCGTTGTGAAGATCAAATGTATTGGGTAAATATTTTCTGTATACTTTTGACTTAATGTTGATTTTCTTCTTCTTCTTCTTTTTCTTCTTCTTCTTCTTTTTCTTCTCCTTCTTCTTCTTCTTCTTCTTCTGATTATTATTATTATTATTATTATCTGTCCAAAGTTGCCTTAAAGGGGTAGTCTACCAATCTGAACATGAATGAACATTGAAATCAGTTTACTTGTCATGGGGAGTACTACCCTGCCTGTTTTGGCTTTGGAGGAGCTTTGTCAGGTCTGACACCAAATTAACCCTGTAGATGTCATCAGGGTTATGTCGGACTGGGCTTGAGCTGCTCCACAGACAATGAGTAGGAGCCTGATTTTTTGGGCCCACAAAATGTTTGTTTATTTTTATAACTGAATGAGCTTTATTCTATTGTAGAGTTCTCAGTTCTGAAACAGAGCATGTACCCATATACTCAGAGCATTCCCCCTGGCTGCTCTCTGTGTCATCTACAACATCTTTCCCAATTGATTGTTGGAGCATTTCCAGACTTTATACCATATGACATCACAAATTTGACTTTCGGCACTCTAGGTTTTGGATTTGGGAGAGTTGTTCATGCTTACTAATATAATTATTAATATTAATAATATTATTACACCATAGGAATATGTATGAATTTTTAATTTTTCCTCAAGTGTATTGAAAGCCCTGTTTTTAAGGTTGTGTAAATGTTAGGAAGAAATAAACTTGATAATCCTCAGAATTCTTACCGCTTGCTGTTTTACCAGCATTTACTTGTACTTTTACTTTCAATACTTCATTAAATTTGATACAATAAAAATACTTTTGATACATCAGTACTTTTATTTAAGTCAGTAGTTTTATTTAAGTCATATTCTGGTAAGATATCTGTACTTCTACTCAAGTATGGCTTTCAGGCACTTCACTGCACCACCACTGCAAAAAAGACATTTCTCAGACTGAGAAAAAAATAGATAAGTGAACTGTTTGATTGTACATAGGAATTAATACTGACACTTCATATAGTGGCTCATGTGATCATCTGATTATCCACTTTGTAAGTTTATTGCTGGGTTTTTTTCTTGTCTTACTCATTTATTTGGTCATACATTATTTTTCATCTTCTTTAATTCATTTTGAAATGATTGCCTTTTGTAACTTGACATTCCCCTGTATTAAAACGCTGATGGTACATTGTTGCAGTGGAAAAGGCTGTTTTGTACATGACGCAATTTAAAAGGAAAAAAAAGTGTGGAGAATACGTCATGGGTTATCACCCAATCGCATCGTTCTAAAAGTAAAAAAAACAGTAGTACACTACGCGTCTCTACTGCGCAGACTCACACACAGAGGAGGAGACAGGGCTCGCTTCCCCACAGAGGAATTTAAGTCTTCTTAAAAAGGTAATAAAATACAACTCCTTTGGCTCGTTTGCAGTCTTTTCGATGGTCACAAGTGTAGGTAACCTTTATTTCGTTCACTGTCTGTATGTAGAATATCAAAGCCCCATCAATACTATTCTCCTGCGTCCCACTTGTGTTATTATGCTAACCGGCGATAGCTAGCTAATCTAGCTAACATCACCAAGTAGTAGTTAGCTTGGCACCTTCCTCTAAAGCTAACGTCAGCTTTTGTTTCGTTCGGCACCTCTGGTTCTGGTTTGTCCTGTGAGCCCTCGCTCCTCGAGGTTTTTGTACACCCGGACACACGAAACTGATCAAATAACATATCCAATTAGTTATTAGATATGATATCGACCAGGGTTGAAGTGAGCACTGTTTTCATTGATAGTCGGAATAATGAACTGTAGTGGTTGTCATTGGTAAACCTCTGTGCCGTCTATACATACACACATAGGTACATACATACATATATGTATGTGTGTGTGTGTGTGTGTGTGTGTGTGTGTAAAGGTCATTCATATAGCACAATTTAATTCTATTCAACAAACAGTATTAAACACAGTATGAAATCCATCATGAAACTCACATTTAAAGGATAGAAACCATTTTAAATGGTATCGTGGGATATAAACAGGGAAATAATGACAACGTAGCCAGAGTTGTACATTAAAGGACCAGTGTGTAGGAGCATCTATTGGCAGAAATGGAATACTGTATTCATAACTATGCGTTGATTAGTTTATGATCACCTGAAAATAAAAATTGTTGAGTTTTTGTTAACTTAGAATGAGCTGTGTATGTCTACTAAGTGAGCAGGTTGTCTTTCATGAAGTATGCCATGTTGTTCTACAGCATCCCAGAACGGACAAACCAAACACTGGCTCAAGATCTGGTCATTTGCATGTATGCGTCAGCCACTGTAGTTCTCCTAACCCAGGGATATTTAACCTGTGGCTCTGGAGCCACATGTGGCTCTTCGGCTAGTGTCCAGTGGCTCCCTGTGGTTTTGACAGAAAAATTCTATAATGATAAGGTTATTCTGTTGTAGGCCAAAATAAATTCTTAGATTCTCCAATTGCAACAAAACACCAAATGAAAAACTGTTGTAAGATTTAGTCAGCTAAAAGTGCATAATACGTAAATGGCCTGGTGCTTTTCCCTCTAGATTTTGCTGAACATCAGCAGTGGTCGCTAGTCTTGAGTCTAGCCTTGGCTTGGCTAGCTATGGATTTGGTTTTTGTAAACTTAATAGGCTGCGTTATCCTCATTATAAGGTTCTAGACAGATTTTTCTTTCTTTAATTTTTTGTCAAAAATGGCTCTTTTGACAGTAAAGGTTGCTCTCCCGTCTTAAATGCTTTGCACATGGGAGAAGTTTCAGTTTTGCAGCCTTACCACTAAATGCCACTAAATTCTACACACTGGACTTTTAAGTGTAAGGTATATAATGATGATGCTCTATAGTGCTCAGTAACTAAATGCTTTGATTTTTATTTAAGACACTGGATGTGTTTAAAGGACCTCTGCCAGATGACAGAATCGCATCGTAACAGTCAGAGATGTATTTTGGTCCCAGGTCATAGAGAGACTTATAGAAAAGCAGCAGTTATTTAAACTCTCTCTGATAACTATTTAGTTTGTAAGGTTCTACTATATTTTTCTACTATAAGTTTTTGTTAAATTTAAGATGACATTATTATTTGGACAGTCTGATGGCCTGATGGTAAATGCAGCTACAAGGACTGTGAACATAGAGCTTAAAAGCTCTGAAGTTAACATGTTAAAGTTGAACTGTACGGGCACTGTGAATTACAACATCCCCTGTCTGAGTGCAGCTAGGGACCTGCATCTGTCTCACCATGTTCTCTGTCATCTCTGCTGTCCATTATAAAGCCATAAAATTGGTAACAAAATACTTGCAAAAATTGACCTGTATAAAGCCATCTCTGCTTATGCGTTTTGGTGGGAAAGGAGACAAATGATGAAACTGAATGAAAAGCTGAAACTTTCTTCAGGTCTTAAGTCTTGTTCTGTAATGTATGCATATCTGTAAGCAAGGCAAAGTTGACATATTCTGCTGTGATGTTGGCAAAATGTTTGAGTGCTTTCCCATAAAAAGTCAAAAGCTGAGAAATATATCAAGAATTGGCCATTGTTGTTTGCTATTGAGCCACCTTTTTAGATTCCTTTATGTCATGCAAAAAGGTAAACATGCCTTAGGAATAATTGAGCAGATGTGCTTGAAGTTTACACGCTTCTGAAATTAACATTTCACTGCTTTGAAAACTACAAACCCTAGCTTCCTTTGTTACTTACCAGAATGAAAATACATCTGATAGTATCTTTTATTTGTGTTTCTGTGTGCACGCTTGTTTTCTTTGCATCAGCTCTCAGGAGCTCATCACCACCAGTAAAGCTGTATAAGCACCGGGTTGACGGGACTGAAGGAAGTGGCGCGTCGTACGGGGAGCTGCCTGCTGAAATCGCCATGAGTTACAAACCCATTGCTCCTGCGCCGTCTGGCTCCAACCACACGCCTCCAGGTTCTGACACCTAGCAGCCACGTAGCCATAATGTTGGACATGCAGTTATTTGCCAGTTGCCATTTTTCTTTGTTACGGATATAAAACATTTTACACCATGGCCATGAGACATAATTTTGCTTTACACTCTAATTACTATTGTAAATCAAAATTAGTCTAGCCAATATTAGATTGCAAATAACCATAGCAACAAGACATAATCATTGTCATGACTCCTCACAAAGAGAATGCAAAGGGCCATGGTATACAAGTGATAAAGCGCTCTAAGGTGTCTATAGTGGAAAAAATAATGGACTTGGTTTATGTGTATCAGGGACCCTTACAGTGAATTATTACTTACAATTACTTAATGAAATGTTTCAGAGGGCAAATTTCTTCTAATTGTTTTTGTGTTGCAAATTCCAGCTACAGTGTGTTACATCTGTCCTCCTCCTCTGTCCAGGATCCTCTGTCCCCTCTCCATCCCTGCCCTCGTCATCCAACTTTAGGCCGGCATTTAGTGACTTTGGCCCACCCTCCATGGGCTTTGTTCAGGTATGTTTTCAGTGTTTTGTAATTCTTAGTAATACCATATACATACATAAACCCCAATTCCAAAAAGTTGGGACACTATAAAACGTAAATAAAAACAGAATGCAATGATTTGCAAATCCTTTTTGACATACAGGAAATAAGTATTTAACGTGAACATTTGTTTTGTTTCACATTAGTACAATGCAGCCATTCACATAAAATTCTGCCAGGCATTGGGTCTCATTTACCAATATATTCCCAAGTTTTTTCTTAAGATAAGATAAGATAAGATACACCTTTATTGATCCCACAATTGAGAAATTCCAGTGTTACAGTTACAGTAGTCAAGGGGAAAGAGTCAAATTAAAGATTTCAGTATTTAAAAACTTAAAAAAAAGTAGGCATGCAGAAAAAAGTACAAAAAAATACAAGAAACAGCAATAAATAATAATAATAATAATAATAATGAGTAGTGGATAAAAAGTGAGCAATGGATTAAAGTGAACATATTTAGTGCAAAGTGAATATTGAATGTGCAAATAAACAACAACATGGGGGACAGCAACGCTTATAGTGGTGTCCCTAAAGTGTCCATGGTGCAGTTTACTGTGAGCAGTGCTGGTTATGTAGCCTGACAGCAGCAGGCAGGAAGGACCTGTGATAGTGTTCCTTCACACACTTTGGGTGAATCAGTCTATCGCTGAAGGAGCTCTCCAGAGCTTTTATCTCCTCCTGCAGGGGGTGTGAGTCATTAGTCCTCAGAGATGACAGCTTGGCTTAAAGTTGTTTTTAAGAAAGGTCCTAGGAAATGTCTATGTCAGATCCATGACATGTCTGTAAACAGCAGAATTGTTCACATCTGTGTTTTTATAATGATGAATCCCATTGCCCTCGTAAGTTAAAAGCGTGTGCCAGTTAATTCTAAAGAGCACAGGTAAACACTCTGCAAGTCCCTATAAAAGAGCATAAGCACAAGGCAGTGTGCACACAGGGAGACTGAACGAGGAGAAAAGTCAAGAATGTTTACCAGATGTCCAAAGAGGGTAATAATAATAAAAATCATAATAACCTTTATTTATATAGCACTTTTCAAAACATATGTTACAAAGTGCTTTACAGAACAATTAAAACATAGAGTACACAATTCCAATGCATGAAAACAGTAAATGACAGATAAAATCAAAAAAGGCTTTCCAGTAAAAATGTGTTTTTAGAAGAGATTTAAAAGAGATCACTAAAATCAATTCTAAAACGTACTGGCAGCCAATGTAGAGATGCTAAAATAGGTGTGATGTGATCGTGTTTTTTAGTTCTGGTTAAAAGCCTCGCAGCAGAGTTCTGCACCATTATATTGGTGTAAAGCACTGGACTTCAAACATAAAACAAACTTTTGTTTTGAAGTGGAGGTGCTTCTGCAGAGAGTGAACGCCAAACGAGCTGTCACATTTAGTAGCATCAGGCGTGGATATAAAATGCTACACACAAAAAAAATAAAATGAAAAAAATTCATGGGATGCTAGAAATACTTGTTAATCAACCACCTGACCAGCAAACCACAAACTTAACAGAGCTGTCAAGGGAGTGTGTGTTTAGAGAGAAAGAGAGGGCAAGAGAGGGAGATCATAAATAACTAAAGTTATTAATAATTTGTCACTTTTTATCTCACCTGTCCAACCCCTTACATAATTGCGCAATCACAGTTCCCATAAATATAACTTACTTGAATTAAATGTAAAGGTGAGTCATCACTGAGACTGTTTTTCCTCCAAAATTGTTGCATGTCTAAAAACAAATACAACCTTGCGTTGTGTCAATCACGCTTACACACTGACTCCAAAACTTTCACTCGTCACAAGTTTTTGGAACAGGTTCAGTTTGCTGCGCTTTTTTGCATTTCAATAGTTGTTCAACCAAGAAGCAGTGAAGTAAATGTGGGGAAGGGACACAACCCCAACAAGGGATAGAAACGGGTTGCAGAGAGTGGTGACAGACAGGGAGGGAACTCCAGAGGAGAGACGCAAGGGAGCAAATGTGTTTTTTCATGTTGTCTGACATTGTGAATCTTTGCAACAAATAGAACAATAAAAAGCATCAGACTGTGCAAGGTTTCTGAGTGTAACAGTTTTTTTCTGATGACAGATTTCTTAAAAAACGCTTATGAAAGCTGTAGTCTGAAGTCTGTAGTCTTCATTTTAAAAGACCATAATGCTTCTATTTAAATAATGAAAGAAGTTATTGAATATATAATAAATGATAAAATATTATTGTTATATAAATCCTATAATAATAAACGACTATAGAATTGAAAAAACACAACAACCAATTATTCTTCACAAACAGATCATCACAAAATGTGCACAAGAGCGTTCTTGAGTGTGCATAGATTCTGTTTTACCTGAGAACAAATCCCAAATAGGATAACATTGGTCATTATCATTGTGAAAATTACATAGAGCTGAAAACACCCCATCACTGCCGCAGCGTAACTTGTTGTATGACGCATGTCAAGTGTTCCCCTAGCACACACAGAACTCCCCACACTGCAGCAAGAGAAGACAACACAGTTATTACTACTTTTTCCAAAGGATTTGTGCTTGTTTCACCTCTGCATTAGCTGAAAATCGTGTGCATTTTATGTGTGGACACCCATTAATTAAACTTGATTTCTCACTTGTAGAGCCGATCTCTGGAGCTCTGGCTCACCAGGCAATATCTTCTTGGCCTTGTCTTTATAGTGATGGGATTGCTGGTTGTATAGCTTGGGATATTTTTCAACCTCAACACTCTCTCCTCATCTGTTCTTTGATACACATGAGAGACAGCAATTGCAACAGTATTCTGTTTATGCATCCATGGTGAGGAGAGGAGTCAAGCTGTCATAGGAGCAGCGGGGGGTATTATTCCTTAAGTGGCATTCAGTGCTGATGTGTTTTGGCCTTGGTGTGCTTTGGCCTTAAGTGGGTTTTAAGAATACATTTTTTTTTTTAAAAATGATAGATGAACAAGTCAATAAAGCAGAAGGACACAGGAAGAAAGTATTGGACAGGCTAACTGAAATGTATTAAATACTTGGAGAAGCCTTGGTTTGCAATGCCAGCTTCAAGATGCTTCCTGGATGTAGAAACTAATCTCTCTTAAACAACCAGTGTCGTTGGTTCCCAGATGCTTACTGAGTGCTATTGAAAGAAAGGGTGGTAAACATGCTCGTGTCCCAAATTTTTTGGAACATGTTGCAGGCATCAAATTCACAATGAGTGTATATTTACATTAAATATTGTGTCTTGTGCCGTATTTAGTTGAATATAGACCGTTTCAAACTGGACAACATAAACATTCTAAATGGGTCCCTTTGTATTTCCTGTTTGAATGTATGTTAATGCAGAAACTGACAGGAAGTAAACAGGGACCAAAGTTGTCGCCCTAGCAACAGAATAGCAATGAAATGGTCCATAGGTTGGCAGGGATTTGCAAATCATTCCATTCTGTTTTTAATCATGTTCAACGCAGTGTCCAAGCTTTTTGTATTGGGCTTGTATATGCATACAAGTAGACCGAATCAAGTAACAACCAGTTTTAATGATTTGTTTCATGTGTGCTTGTGCAGGTTGAAGAGTAGAGCTCGAACTTGTTTTACAGCTTTGTCAGTCACTTATCATAAAAGCCCTCTCTAGGGCTGCAGCAGTGTAATACCTGCAAAGAAACTGATTGACTATTGTCTCACAAAATTGTTTGCCTGTTTTTTATTGAAGAGGAACAGAACGTAAATTGTTTCAAACAAACGCTCCAGAACAAGAGTGAGCTGAACACACCCGCCGGCTGTTATTTCAAAGCCGATCATTAATTGTAAACTGGCTTGTTTTTTAGAAACTTAGGTTGATTTTATGAGGAAGCCTTCCTTCATTTGCAGCAGCACAGATCCTGTGAAATTTTAGATTTACTGGTGTGTACCATTAAAAGAAAAAAAATCAACAGTTGAGTTGAAGTACAACATTCAGATACGCAGCAAGACGGAGGAGAGAGTTTGCTGAGTGCATGTCTCTGTATTCAAGGAGTACAGTAAATATTGACAGCTCTGGAAGGCTGTTACTGTGAGGCAGCTGTAGGCATGTGACCTTCATGGCAGTGGTGAGATAGCAAAGGGCATGAAAAAAAAAACATATTTTTTCACATATATGTAGTGGAACAGTGGAAGGGAGGAATGGACTGATTGTAGCTGTGAAAGCAGGGGCATGCAGAAATGCTTAGATGGGAGCAGTTGGGGAGCAGTCTGTTAGACATACAAATGAATGTTATCAATGTTAATTTGATAATTATTTCAGTCATGTTGCAGTTCTACTTAGCATTTTGAATTATTGTCTTCAAAATATAGATACCATATGCCTTCCTGTATAATAACTTCATGCTACAGTTGTGTTCAAAATTTTACATACACTTGGAAAGAAGTTGTTTGTCATGACTTCCAATAATTTCTACAACCCTTATTTTTATGTGTTTGGAGGACATTCTATTTTGTAACAAAAAAACACTCAGGAGTTTTGGTTGTTTTATGAATCTATAATGGTCTCCTGAAAATGTGACCACATCTACCATGTCAAAAATATACACACAGCAACATGAATTATCAATTTTGGTGATGTACAAAGCTGTGTCAGTCAAATTTGCTTGTTGACATGGCCTCTTAATTTCTTTCTTTCTCCAGCTGGTGACTTCCCTGAGTCCATTAAAATTGGGATTTTTGGTGCACTCATTCGTTTCAGCCACAAACACTAAAATAGGAAAGTCTAGGGAGCTCAGCGTGGATCTAAAAAAAGCAGATCATTGACTTGAAGAAGTCAGGAAAGTCACTCGGTTCATAACAATTCAAAACAGCTATAAGTCCCAGGATCCAATGTGCAAATAATTGTTTCTAAGTATAAAGTGCATAGCACAGTTATGTCACTGCCATGATTAAGAAGAAAACATAAGCTATCACCTGCAGCCAAGAGAGAACTGGTTAGGATGGTCAACCAACCATCTGCAATGAATCAGAAGCAGCTAGAACACAGGTGTCAGTGTCCACAGTCAAGCGTGTTTTACATCGCCATGGGCTGCCACGCAAGAATGAAGTCCTTTGGTCAGTAGCGGCATCTCAAGACTTGAAGTGTGCTGCAGATCATATGGAAGAAAAGGCTTTTTGGAGGAAAGGTCTGTTGTCAGATGAAATAAAAATTGAGGTATTTGGCCAGAATGACAAGAAATACATTTGGAATAGAGAAGATGAGGCCTTTTACCCCAAGCATATCACACCTACAGTCAAGCATAGTGGTGGCAGTGTAATGCTCTTGGTCTGTTTTGCTGCCAGTGGAACTGGTGCTTTACACAAAGTGAATGGAATAATGAAGAAGGAGGATTATCTCCAAACCCCTCAGGAAAACCTAAAATCATTAGCCAGAAGGTTGAGTCTTAGACACAGTTGGGTATTCCAACAGGACAGTGACTATAAACACATCAACAGTGGTAACAGAATTATTAAATCAGGCTAGAATTAAGGTTCTGCAATGGCCTTCCCAAAGTTCTGGCTTGAACCCCATTGAGAACATATGGGCTGTGCTGAAGAAACAAGTCTGTGCCAGAAAGCCAACGGATTTAGTCAAACTGTGTTGACTTTATCTAGAGAAGTGGTCAAAAATATAACTAGAAGCTTGCCAAGAGCCTGTGGATGGCTACCAGAATCACCCAATAGAGGCGAAAATGGCCAAAGGGCTTCTAAAATATAAGCATTGCTGTGTGTATATTTTTGGCCACACAGATTTGGTCACATTTTCAAGAGATCCATAATAAATTCATGAGAGAACCAAAATTCCTGAATGTTTTTTTTGTAACAAAGTAGTATGCACTTCAGTCATTCCATCACAGGAAAATTAGAGTGTAGTAATTATTGGAAAGTCAGGACTTCCACGACAAACATGTTCTTTACAAGTGTATGTAAACTTCTGACCACAACTGTGTGTCATATTAGCAAAGAGTCTTCATTTTCCATTGTTCTTTGTTTTTCCTTGTAATGGGATGATGGGAGTTTCCAGCTGTGACAAGTCCTGACAGATCTTTTTTTTTTTTCTTCTCCCCAAACATGACATGTTTGTGAAAAACACAAACAGCCTGTCAAAGTGTCTCAAGGGTCCACCTACAGTGAGCTTCTGTCTGTCATCGAGGAGATGAGCCGTGAGATCAGGCCAACATACGCTGGGAGCAAGAGCGCTATGGAGAGGCTAAAGAGAGGTATGTTGATGACCTTTGTCATCAGTTAATGAGAATCAAAGAAATCTCTTGTGATCTTGTGTGAGAGCAGGGCTTTGTTCTGTGTACAACAGGAACATTGTGCAAAATATTATTAAAGGGGAACTAAAGCCCCCTCTCTGGGCATTACTCCACCCACAGCTTGAATTCAGAAAAGATAGGCTGAGCTGAGGGGCAGGGGGGTTGGCGTGTGGGACAGGCGAGCAGCTGAGGAAGGGGGCGGGGTGAAGATTGTCCCTCGCTGCGGGGAGAGGAGAGGGCTTCCCCGGAGGTCGGCCTCTTTACCCGGTCCCTCTCCTCCACACTTAGACTTATTTTCATTGTGGCGATGGTGGCTTGGAAAACCGCCCCTAACTGTGTCACACGGGCAGAAGGGAAGGTGGCTGGAGATCGGCCTCTTTCCCCCTGTTCACCCTTCTCCCCATCTCCACATTCTTTCACCCTGCCGACAGTGGAGCTTATTTTCATTGTGCCGATGGTGGCTTGGAAAACCGCCCCTAACTGTGTCACACGGGCAGAAGGGAACGCGGCTGGAGTCTTATTTTATCCTACTTGGTTCTATTTCTCCCTCTCTGGGAGTCTGGGCTCACCGTGCAGCAGCCCACCGCATCCATCCACCCCTCCTTCCCTCACGGCCCCGCACATATACCTCTGAGGCTTGGCTCTCTCTCACCGCACAGCGGCCCTCCACATCCCTCCCTCGCCGCCCCGCACATATACTCCTGAGCCTCGGCTCCTCTCCTTGACCAACTAACCTAAATACTATAAACACACTACTAACTGTAAACCTACACTAAAATACACTATGCTAACAATACGATTCGACAAATTACTAGCTATTCTCTCTGCTCTACTACTCTCTCTGCTCTGATCCAACCTACTTGCTATCAGTTTGATAACTGCGGACAGAATGGTTTTATAGCAAGGGGAGGAGTAAAGGGAGGAGGGCAGGTTTAGCGTGGACGGTTAGTGACGTCATTCGCCCCGAAAAAGAGTCATTCGCCTCCAATGTAATGTAATGTAAATTCAAATGTAGTAACCAGGTTTCAAGCTGTAGAGGGCACTCCATACCACATTTTTAAAATAAAATGTAGATTTTCAACAGTTTGCACTAAACTGTCAAGATTTTGAGCAGGATCAGTCAGTAACACTACTATACAACCAGAAACAATGATTATCAGCTGAAAAAAATGGTTTTAGGATTTAGTTACTCTTTAACCAGTAGCTTCAGTACAAAAGAATCTGTATCAGACTTCTATGATAAAACAGTATGGCAGGTGTGTATAGTGTGTATAGAGTCAGGATATTTTCACATCTAACTGGTCAAATTAATCATTTATTTCAACCAAACCAGAGTTGGTGATTGATGGAACAGTGGAAACATGAACCACAATGTTTTTTTGTGAGTTTTATTTTGTTTCTGTCAACTTTAAGTGAAGTGTGTTTTACTATGATAAAATTACTTTTTATTTAAATATAATCTGGTGGGTTTGAAGATAGCAATTTTGGGGCTGTTTCTGTTTAGATAGAAAGGATCTTATTTTTTAACAAAAAGGTCTATCTCTGTAGGGATCCTTTCCATAATGTTGTCAGACACCTCGAATGATGAGTCTGAGCCTATCAGTGATAAAAACAAGCACTTTTTGGGGGCGTGCATTGATGGTGCTCAGTTCCCCCGAAGGATTACATTGCAGCCTGTTTGGCTGCTACTGGCTCTAGCAAAAATTGTCATACAGCCACTTGGACACAAACACATGGGAAAGTAGTCTAGGTTGAAAAGAAAACAGAGTTACCCTTTAATGGTAAATTCCATAATTTTCACACCAAAGAGAAAGCAAAGAGAAGTATTACCAGATTAGTACCTTTCCACATCCAGGGTTTAAGTAAAGTCATAAGCAAAGAAAATAAGAAAAGGAAAAACACTTGTTGATTTTGCTGTTAATATACAAATATTTTTATACATACTACAGTGGGATATGTGGACATCAACCAATGGAGAAGTGAAGCCATTGTCCACAAAACACAAGGGGTTAAACAGACCATGTTTTGGTTTAACATTTAAGATTCATTCAGATTCAGATTTAAAATTCAGTGTTAACATCCTTTGTCAATGCCGATCAATATATAGTCAGTGAGGGAAGGAAAACTTAGAATGGTAAATGAAACCAATAAAGAATAAAAATAATAAAAATGAATAAATAAAAAGACCAACACCCACGTATAAGAAAGGATGGTTGTAAAAAATAAGATTGTATCACAAATAATGCCTCTCACCCTCATCTTTATTTCTATTGACTAACATTCTATTTCAGTACATTTCTAAAGGATGGCTATAAAAAGGGGATATAACAACTATAACAACTACTAACTATATACAACTAGTGAGGTAGAGATAAAGAATAAATATGCTTGCAGCAGTTTGGCTTTACAGATTGCACATTACTATACAATATCTGGACAAATAAGAGAACACAGTAGAGAAAACAGTTAAGGATGTTCCCTCAAGTGATTATCTGAACAAAATCAGGTCTCAGTGGCTTGACATATTGCACCAATTTCTCCCAGTGCTGCATGAAAATGTCCATCTTTAGGTGTACAGAGAAAGTAACCCTCTCCATCATGTATATCTCCATTGTCACATCTATCCAGTCATTTATTGTCGGACCAATGTGCATCATTCATTTTCTTGTCAGAGCCTTTTTCCCTGCTGCCATCAATATACACATGAAGCATTTGCCAATACTTTTTACTTCAGGGGGGATACAGCCTAAATATATAACTCTGAAATCTAATGGTATGTGCAAATTAAAAATTTGTTGTATTGCTGTGTATATCTTTCTAGTAATTCCTCCAGCACTACTACTGTCATAGTGTGCTGTCAAGAGAGGAGTGATAAAAAAATTGAACATTTTTCCAGCAAAATTCTTTCCATGCATGAAGTGCTTTTCCATTGAAAAGAATATCTTGCCATATTTCATCTGTGATTGACAGGTCTCCTTCCTTTTCTCATCTAATCATAATATATTTTGTTGAATAGACTTTTAGGCAGTGGAGAGATTTATAGAGTTGGGAGATGACCCCTTTCTTTTAGTATCCATTTATATGCATTTATAAATAGTTGAATGAAGGGTTTACTGGCTTCACTGATATCCTTTTTGGATTTTTTGATTGTAATCATTTCTTAATTGGAGGTATCTATAAAAGTCCTGCTTTTATAATGAAAATGTCACTCTTAAGGTTTGGAACAACGTAATTTCATCTTTCTGTATAATTCTAGATAGGGATGTTATGCCTTTTTTTAATCCAAAACTTAAATCTATCATCCAGCAAGTAAAATCTGAGTCACATGCACACCAACTCAGGTTTTTAATATCTTTCTCCAATTTATGCTTTTTTTATAACAGCTTTCCAAACCTCAAAATAGATAGATATAGAATACAGCAATGCTCTAATCTGTGCTGAGATATAGTAATTTTTCAAGGATGGTAAGCCCCAGCCTCATTTTTCTTTGGGGAGTTGTAATGTTTTGTACTGTACTCGGGGACTCCTTCCTTACCATATAAATCTTGATATCATTTGTCCCACTCTATGAATTGGTGTGGGGTGATTGTAATTGGGAGGGTTTGAAAAAGATACAAAAATCTCGGCAGAATGTTGATTTTAATTTGTTTAAATTCTTGAACCTCCACTTCAGTGGATATGCATTCTTGAGTTTTTCTTATGTTGTATATCAGAGTTTCTGTTTTATCTAAGTTCAATTTGTAACCTGATAGTGGACCTATAGAGAATTCATCACTTCTGGTAGAGATATTTCAGGGTTTTTTAAGTGTAAAAGAACATCATCTGCATAACAAGCCATTTTATGTTCTACTCCATTAATTTCAATACCCTTAATTTTGTCATTCTAATTACAATTTTGTGGCCCGAGGAGGAAATGATCATTCTGCTACTCCCTTTTCTGCTCTGTTTTTTCAATTCTGATGAATAGAAATGAAGGTATGTAGCATTAATGGATGGGTGTGATTGAAATAGAATCACATGCATTAAAAACCGGAGTAACTGCAGTCACTATGGTGCTAATTGAACAGGCAGATAGAAGGCTGAACCCAATGTTCTCTATACCTGACCTGCTATTTTCTTGGTTAAGAGCAGCCTTTTTGTTATCTCAGCAATAGTGGTGGCTTGGATGCATTAGCATTTTTTAGTTGAGGTAGACTCGGCCAGAAGACAGAAATTGCTGCCAATTATTTGAGCAATTTATCTTATTAATGTAAAACTGTTGATTTAATGCCTCCTTGCACTTTGTGTCTGTCTCGTGCAGGAATAATCCATGCCCGTGCACTGGTCAGGGAGTGTCTTGCAGAGACGGAGAGAAGCGCCCGCACATAACCTTTTCGAAAGCTCCCTTCACTCCTCACTCTTTCCCTGTAGAAGCCTGTCCTCATCAAGATCCTCATCGTCTGTTTTACAACCTTTTTTTTGTGACCCTCTCACCTTTTGCGCTTTCCTCAGCAGCTTTTTATAGGTGCATTATGTCCTTCTTGTCTCCACTGTTCCCTGCATTCCACCACACCGATTTTGGTAATCACAAACTATCTGTGAACTGTGGGGTGTACACAAAATGCATTTTTGTATCTATTTGAAATGAGAGTGTGGGGAATTTCATCCCATTTTCAAGTTGAGCTGTGGATTACAACCTTAGTAAAATGAGTAGGAATGTTTAAAGTATTATTTGTTCAATAATGGCAATTGACCAAGAAAGTTCAGGGTTTTTAACGATGAAATGTTCCAGCTGCTCAAGTTTCTATTCTGAACGTAACTGTGGAACCACTGATTATTTTTTTTGTTAATCAGAGCATCTTGAATATACCCCATTTCCATCCACCCTTGTTTTGTTTCATCATATTTTGTAGTGAAAAACACACATTAGATGTTTCTCAATCCCAAGAACGCTGTACATCTCAAGTCAATTTGTTAGTATGGAAATTTTGTAAACCAGATTTTTGCAGTTCTGTATGTATATCTTAATTAAATAACAGAAAAAAAACACGTTGAACGGCTGTTTGATTTGTGTAACATAATTAATAGGTTGCTGTGGAGTTGATGGGTACATTTTCTACTTCAGCTGTGATGATTTATCAGACATTGATGAGGCACATTGATATGAAATGTGTTTTTAATTCAAATAAAACCTTCATTATTGATGGTTGACAAAAACGCTGTCAACACATTGTCAATTAACCTTGAAATCCTTCAGGCTTAATGAATAAACCCCATAATGAAGCCCACAATATGTGAGAGTTGTGAAAACCAGTTTACCTTGTGCTAAGAATTAATTTTTCAATTTATTAAAATCATATCATAAATTATTTTCATATCGTGTCGGCACGTCACAACTATATTCAACACCTACATACTGTTCATATTCTACACCTTCACAGTATGGTACCCAAAAAATCCCCCTATAGCAAGTGTCTATACCAAATTTTAAGCCACAGATGTATTAAGAATGTATAAATAGCTTATCTGACTGATGGTAATTTATCCTTGTTTAATGTGTCATATAGCTGGAAGAGTGTAATTTTCAGGTTTTATACCCCTTGTTAGCATTATCTACTATCACACATCATCATGTTCTATTTTACATGAAAACATAATAGCCATAATGATTTGACTCTATTTTACTGAGACTGGAAATGGCCAGAACATTCTGAAACCATGGGACTTATGGCAGTTACAACCATCAAGTACTGTCTTTACTGCTATATTGTTTAAAAAAAACAAAAACATTATACCTACTTCCTTATTAGAACTATTAACTATTAATTCAACATCAAACCAGCAAACAAAAACAATTGCTAAGGGACTATTCTTTATCAAAGGAGGAGGGTGGCTGGGGTGTGAATTTTGTTTATTATTTATTGTTATCCTTTGATGTTTTAAAGTTCAAAGTAAAAAGTTGAAGTCGAAATCTTGGAGAAGAAAAAAGTCTGTTTTTCACTTTTGTCGTGCATACTGGTTAGTTAGTAGGGGTGGGAATCTCCAGGCACCTCACGATTCCATTCGAATGGTTAGTTCATGCAAACCCTTCAGTTTTAAATGAGACAAAATATCACGATTATCAGATTTGGCGATGAACGCTTATCGCACATGGTGTGTCCAAGGACCAGCTGAAATTTGAAAATCCAATGTTAATTTCTGTTTTTACAGTTTCTGGTTGTGATAAATGGTGTCATGTTGGCAACTTTTCGTTCAAAATCTTTTTTATTGCAATTTTTCACTGTATATCAAAAGTGCAGGAGTATGAGGTAAGCAAAGGTATATATCAACAGCAGCTAGCATCAGTGTATCCAAGGAAATATGGACTGAGTAAACATAAATCAGGGTAAGGAAAAAAAGGGAAACAGAACAGTTCAAAAACAATACACATATAGAAAAGTACAAAATAATCCCTCCCCAGTCACTGCTAGTGTACTAGAGATAATATGAACTCACTGTCACACCTAGAGTCTGCACTGAGTGAATGAATAGTGTGCAGCGAAGTTAAGCTGCAACCAGAGGCCTCACCTTTATAGGGTCTGGAATGCTTTTAGAAGAGGACCCCACGCTTTCTGTGTATGCCCCTCCCCTAAGGCAAAATAAAAACACTGCATGTGTGTTTCCCACAGTCACAAGAAATTGTTCCTGTTTTGGAGTCCCTTTTGTTGCAGCTCAGGTACATTTATAGTCTCATGATTCCCCAGCCCCTTCTTTTGATCTCTGTTGGTTAGATGGGATTGCTGGGTTTTAATTTGTTTTTGTTTGGGAATATTGCAGGTGCTTGTGTTTGCAGGTGCAGAGCTCACAACAATGTGAGGACAGCCTGTGACGTCTGTGTTATGTGCACCAGATATGATCACGCCTTTGCTGTTTTACTCTTTCACTGTTTTGAGATTTCCCCATGAAACTTCGATGACCAACATGTGCCTTTCTCAGTGGGAACACAAGACGTTTTAATGTCAGTATCAAGGTCCCCCTTGAGCTCTGTCACTACTGTCCCATAAAAACATGGAATGGACAGTTTCACAGTTCCAGGATTCCATAAGACCACTGTTTTACTTGATTTGTCCCACACTGGAAGATTGAAAATCCATGTCAATAGATTCGAGTCCAACTGACCCAGAACTACCTCAATGTGCAAAAATTTGTAGCACCTTTACAAAAGTATGAAATGTTATTCATTTTCATTTTAGCAACTTTTGGTTCACTTTAGAAAATGTCCTCAAATTTCAGGCTAGAAGAAAAGCTTTTAGAGTGTCAGGCAGGGGCGTCAAACGTACGGCCTGCAGACCAGGACCAGCTCACCAAAGGGTCCAATCCGGCCCACTGGATGAATTTACATACATAATATTTTGTGCTCCTCAAAGTCCAGGAGGGATCCTTAAACGGCTGAATTTCAAGGAGGCTACATCATCAAATCCCTGGAAGGACTGCTCCAGTGTCAAGGATCCTTCTAATTCTTGCAAGGACACAGTCCTTCCTTTAGAGGATTTTGAAGAATGCACGTGTGTATCCTCAGTGGGCAGGAAGTACCTGCAATTCTTTGTGCACAGTTTGCCAGAATAAAAAGCAAGGCTTCTTCAATGACGCACACTTCAATGACTTGGAGGCCGAGGAGGAATCCTTGACTTTCAGAGGCACCAGCTGATGCACTTGTGAAGGGGTACCAGGTTTCAGGAACAACAAGCAGAGTATTTCATGACCAGAATAAAGTACTCTGAAAAAATTAATACCTAGTAGTCATAATAAAAGATAAACATTGTGCAAAATACTGTAAATCAGCAGCTTCAGTACAAAACAATCTGTTTCAGACCTCTATCTTTCAACATTATCGGTGGCACCCTGCTGCTAAGGCACTACCAAAATGTTTGATTTGACAGTGGTTTGTACCTGCTTCCCCAACAGCTTCCACTGTAGCTTGGTGATGCTGGCATTGCTACAGAGGAGCACATGTAATGACAGTAAGTAGCAGACTGACTGAATGAGTGAGTCTGTTCATCCATTTTGTAAATTGATGAACATTTTCAGAATGGACTCGTACTTCTTTACACTAAAAGAAATGGAAACATTTAAAAGTGTTTTTATTAATAGGTTAGATGAAATGGTTTTACTGGTCCAGCCCACATCAGATCCAACTGGGCTGTATGTGGTCAGAGAACTAGACCGATTTTGGTACCCGTGATGATAAGGTTAGGGTGATTACTGCTGTTAAATGTCAAAATGTGTACGTAAGTATAAAAGAAAATGCAAAGCCGGGGATAAACACAAATTTATTTTCAGTTACATAATCACAACCTCGACAACATCTCACTTCGGTAGAGCTGGGCTAATGACCCGCTGCTTCACATGAAGAGTGATGATATGCTCTTACTAAGCAGGAGAAGGAGACAATGAGGACTTTGTTGAGTACATCTCGACAAAAACATAATGGTATACTTCTTACATAAATGAAATAAGTACATAGGAGAAAGCAAAGATAACACAAGTCCATGTGTTATATATAATGATTGTCACAGACAGCTCGGTTTCGCAGTCGCATCCACCAGGAGATAATGGTCTCCTGCTTATTCCAGTGCCTCCACTGTGACCAAGATTATAGAGGGGCTCTGGCGGTGAAAGGCAGAGGTGTGCATGTGAGTACATGATGTCCCTTGTGCAAAAAAAATAAATAAATAAAAAATATTCCTTGGTTTTCTGACAGGAGAGCATTTCTACCTGGAATCCACTGAACCTTGTTGGGCTGTGTAATTTTAGGATTATCCAGCAGCTCTGCACATACTTCAAAAAAAGCATGCAAAGAAAAAATGCTTTAGCTAGCTGTTTCTAATACTGTGGCAAACAGCTCTTTGCTTTATAGATCGTCATACAATGACTTTTGGGCCATTACTGTGAGCAAGTTATTTACCAAGACCGTTAAAACTTCTGGAGCCATAACAAGCTAAGAGTTCCCTTGGACTGAAGACCATGATGCTCTGATATAATGATGCCGTTGGCTGGAACATATTTTATGTATGGTTTCTGTGGGATACTGGACTTTCATTAGTGTCAAGCTGATAAAGTCAGCATGTCCTCATAAAAATCTTAATTTGACCTTTAGAGAGTGGGAGCCTAGAGGAACAAGACAAGACTGAGAGTCACACCTCAGTATATATATATATATATATCTCTCTATATAGAGAGAGATATATAGATGTATATATATGAGTGACATTGTGTGTATGACCCGACAGTGTGTGAGAAGGTTTCTGTGTGTACCATGGAGGGCAGGGTGGCAGAGTGTATGGCTTGGGTGCATGGATAAAAACGAAAACACGAGCAGCGTCTACTGTTTCTTCTCCATCTTGAAATTCACAGGTATCCTCTTGTTCCAACCCACTGTGAGATTCAACCCTGCGAGAAAGAAGAGCAGATACGTCTTTAAGTTTCAGCTATATGACATTATACCAAATAAGCCTCAATAGTTGCGAGATAGATGCCATGAAAACAAATGAAACTCAAAGCAGACTGACTGTAGTGGCAGTGGCTGGTGGTGTGTTGTAGTTAAATAGGCCTTTGTAGCGACCCTTTTCCTCCTTCTCTTTGGTGCGGATCCTCTCCTCCATGGCCTTCAGCTCCTTGGCAACAGACGGCCCCAGAGAGGGGTCCAGCTCCAACACCTTATTGAAGTCCGCCCGTGCCTCTACCTCATTCCACACTGCAGCGTGGGCCTTAGCCCGCTTGTAGAAGGCCTTCACATTGTCTGTTAGGGAGGGAACAAAGAAAATAAATAAAGCTGTTGGCACTGTTATCAACAACTTAACATGAAAACAGATTCACAACATTTGCAGACAGGGCTGTGCCAACAATCTGAGACAACACACTTCAAGCAATTTAAAGGAGGATGATAGCTTCTAGGACAACACTAATACGAGCTGTTATGAAGTTGAAATGAGGCCCTGAGCACACCAAAACTCATTGCTGGAAACGCATCACCAACAAAACCTTGTTTTCCTATGGTACAGCACATCTTGCGTGTACCTCTCTCTTGTGCCACGTTTTTCTAGTGGTTTTTAGATGTGCATAAAAGTTTAAATACTCTCAACTTTTCAGCGCAAGGATCGAAGTCCACACTTTTTTAAATCTACACCGATCAAAATGTAGTAGAAACAGAAATCTTTCCTCTCTGCCTGTTTTTGTACAGCACCAGCGAAGCCTTACCCTCATATTTGAAGACAATGGACGTGCAGTGTTCTATGACTTCGTAGTACTGGCCCTGGAGTAGCTTGCACTGGCAGTAGTTGAGGAGCAGTGGTGTGATCATATGGTCCAACTTTACCCATGCTTCATCTCCAGGGTGCTCCTTAAAGAGAGACAAAGGTCACAGAGAGGAGTTAGAGAATGTATTTTATTATAAATTCAAGTGTCTATACTAAAGTAGATACTAAAACTGGATCTGATCTTCATTCTATTGTATTCAGCTGTACTCAAACCTTCATCTGTAGATTTTTGAGGCAGGCAACTCCATTGTAGTACTTCTCTGTGGCTTCCTGAATCTGGCCCTGTTTGAAAAGTGTGTTGCCCTCCTCATGGATTTGAGGCACGAACTCGAGTTTCTCTTCATCTGTCATAGCCCACACATCGAGCTGGAACGTTCCTGGAGGCATAACCTGCGCAGAGACAGAGACTGAAGATCAGTGGAAGCTGGAGCTTACACGGTAGCAGAGTAAAACCAAGGTTGTGCTTAGTAGCACATAGTAACTCTGTGGGGTACATATATTTTACATCTAATGCCATTCATTACAATACCCCTGCAATGAGTCTCATCTTCGTGGAAGCCTTATAAATTTCTGTTTTGGCTTAAGCTTTGCATTATATCAAGAGGTCTTTCAAATACTTTGTCACCCTCATTAGTCTAATACCTAGATAGGGTCCCCCTGCACCCCCCGGTACTTCTAATCAGTGTTTCTAGATTGGAAAACATGTGTAGAAAATGACTAGCTATGGCCTCAAGCTGATAAAATGTCCCACATACCATTTTTATGCAAATTACAATTATAAAATTACAATTTTCGCCATATGTCAGCCAATATTTCAGGTAACTGAAAAAATAAGGTGAGCAGCCCCATGTTTTGAAGGGTGTGGGTCATGATAAAACTATTCCTAACATGATCACATGTGTCTGTGGTATGCTAGAATGCAAATTAGTGCTTTAATTACAAAATAATCACAGTTTTACAAAATAATAGACTTCAATTAAAGTGCGTCTAGACAAATGATCAGTGTAATTGTTGGCTGACAAATCAAACAACAATGTCTGCCTACCTGGCAAAAGCCATGGTAGTTTTTCTTGTTGACAAATAACTGCCTGCATAGACAGTGATGTTCACAGTAGAATTTTATGTAAGCCTGAGTGACATTCATCAGCTCTCTGTTTTATCAGTCTCCCTTGACTCGTTTGTGTTGTATGGGCCATGTGGTCATGGTGATGTAAATGCCTCTCTGACCACTGAAATTTAGTGGTGGATCTAGCGCATCTGCTGGCTACAACAACTGTCAAACAGCGTACAGACTTCACCTACTCAATACACCACAGGCGTATGCCGGCATGGCAATGGTGCAGACCCACAGTGGACTTAAGATGACGTAAGATTCAGGCAGATATGTGGGTCTCTAGTGATTGGTTAGGGTAAAACCAAATCCTCCTCCCCCACAGAAATCAATGAAGTGGACGCAATGTCAGACTGAAGATGGAGACGGAGTGAATTAAGTTGACAAGTCTGTTTGATATCTGGCAACTATGATGTCGTTGTGTGCCAGATTTTCTTTATTTGGTCATTTGCTTCGAGCATCGAGCTTGGAGCACGCTACAGCGAGTGTTTACATTAGCCTACACTATACGTAGCCTCCACTGCTAGATGCTAACATCAGGGAAACTTGGCTGCTGACGTTAGAAATTTCTCCCTGATTTATGATCATATTCCTGCTGGAACATGTCTGGATTTGTTTACCTGAACATAAACATAACAGGTCACCTTTAAACATGTTCAAGTAAGATATAAAAAAGGGACTGGTATTTCTACCAAAACTGAGGTATAGGGTTAGTGCTACAATGTAAAGAAAAACCTCACAGAAACAACACCGTTTTGACATTGCAGACCTGAATACAACCCAATAAAATACCAACATTGATATGAAACTGTGGGCTCTTCCATGCCTGCTCACCTCCAGCAGCTCGATGGTGAAGACAAGAGGCTGTAGACTGGCTTGAAGCTGATCCAGGTCCTTGTGCCCCAGAGAGTGGTGGGAGTGGATCTGGGCAATGCCACAGCAATGCCTCTGACCTTCCAGCGGGTCCTTACCAGCGCTGATGTTTCTCAGGGACTGGGACACAAGCGGGTACAGCGACGTGTGCTGAGGGGTGAACAGAAATGGTCAGTGGCAAAGAAATAAACAAGACTGCCACTCCATCCCATATGGCCAGCTCACTAACCTTGATGTCGCAGGTAAATTCTGCAATTTCGCCCTTTTTCATGGTGATGACCACCCTCTCCCACACAGCTAATTTGAACTTCTTGCCCAAGATGAGCTCCATGGGTTTGTTGCGGCCCCCCATGGTTCTGGAGTCATCCAGCACTGTGCCATCCAACAGGCTGGTGCGGTAGTGGAAGACTACCTGTGAAGAAGAGTAAGGACGAACACGGGCAACATTAAACACTGCTCAACAGAACTATCTGTTTAAAATAATTGTTGCGTATCCACCGCTTTAAGGACACGAGATTGATAAACCGTGTTTTCTAGACACAAAAGCAATATCGGCACTTGTCTGACAGGCCTGGAGAACGTCTACGCTCCGTCATTTTCTGACCAATCACAACAATGGAAAATTGATTGACGTGGTACGCCGCCCAATCAGCATTCGTATACGCCTAACATCCTGTCCCGCCCCTGATCTTTCCATCAGATGAAAAAATAAGGGGAAAAAACAGAACCCGGCTAAAAAAAAAACAGCCAGTACCAAGAAAATCTAGCATATTATCACCACTAAGACAGCAAAACTCACACGCTTGCAAACGGATTCCTATACACTAGGGCACTGCGGTTGGTGTAACGTCAACATCAACCTAAGTTAGCTGATAGTCTAACGTTAATGTGTTAGCTTGTGGTAGCATTAGCTAACGTGCTTCGTCGCATTTCTCAAACTAATTCAAAGGACTGGACTCACACCGCCGACATAGTATAGTTTACCTTGGTTCCATTAGGAAAGGACGATAGCTCTCCTTTACCAGGACTGATCAATTTCTTTCTTATTCCTTCCTCGAAAAGCTTGCGTGCCTCTTCCTCCATCCTTGACCGAGTCTCAGTTCACGACAAGTGACGATGTTTGCCGAAGCAAGTCGTTTCGTGAGACGTCGCTGTAGGCCACAGAGCGCCCTCTAGAGGTACACTGCGTAAGTGTCATTACAGAAGAGGCCGAGGACTGCAAGGCTCCTTTTTCACAATAAAATAGTTAATTGTCTTGCACACCATTTCAGTAAAATATACATAACAAATCAAGTCTTAATTCACGGAAAACACAATGTATTAGTCTCTTACCACTATACTTAAGATTTTTAGGGACTTGTACTCTGAAGAAGTAATTTAAGGGACTGTTCCTTACTGATGAGGGTTGAGGGGGTGATGCAAAAAGGGAGAGGCATGTTAAATAATTTTTGAGCATTGAAGAGAGACTTGAGTTTTTTATTTTGGTTTAGGGGAGGGACGAATACATTTAAATGATTGTATTTTGTATTTATTTCACCACCAATTTTGAGAAAACGTGAGGCATGTTTTCTTTAAAAATTGCCATGATTACACCATTTATCATAAGCAGAAACTGCAAAAACAAAAATTAGTGTTGCATTTTCAAATTTCTGATGGTCATTGGAAACACCATGTGCCATGAACGCTTCCATCAGATAAAAAAACAAACAAATCTGAGCTTAAAATACTGATATTTCATCAAAAGCATCATCATTTAAACTTTGGTCAAAAATAAACTGTTTGCATGAACTAGTTTTTTTTTTTTTCAACTCCAGGATTTCATCTTCAACTTATTACTTTTAACTTTCAAAGTAATCAAATCGTATCTTGAGGTGCCTGTGGATTCCAACCCCTACTAACTAACCAGCATGCACGACAAGAGTAAAAAACAGAGACCTTTTTTCAACTCCAGGCTTTCCTTTTCAGCTTTAACTTTCAAAAATCAAAGGGTACATTTTAAAAATCTAATTACTTATTTATGATTGAGAGAGGGTCATGCATTTTCCACCAGTCACTCAGGGAGGGTCAAAGAAAAATATCTGTAGCTCCAAGGCAGGTTAAAAAACAAAGTCACACCCCAGCAACCCCCTCTCCTGATAAATAAAGAATAGTCCCCAATCTAATAACTTTTCACTATCTTTTAGAGGAAATGATTATACTGCCTAATGGCTATAGTCACTGGTTACTTTGCAGATTCATTTTTTCAAACAAAATCTCTGATGAGCTGCTGAAAGACAGTGCATGACTCTCTTAATCTACCTCAGTCGACTGCAGTATTGATTTGCATGATGTAAACAATAATCATGGTCACTTTATTGTTAATTCTGAGGTCAAAAATGCTATGAGTTGTCATTTACACCTACAGTTCTTAAAGCAGGCAAAATAACTGCAAAGTGCTGTATGTGTGAACTGTAGATGTGCTGGAGCTACTGTGTATGTGATGCCATATTAAAATTGGCACCTGATGTACCTACTTCAGGGTTTATACAGAGATAAGGGTAGAATTGGTGTGTAGATGGATACTCTGCTATGAGAGAATGAACATTTTCATGCAAAAAAAAATGAGTTCAAGCTGAAGTTAGAATAGAGTGCACAAAATAATGACTCACATCTTTTGGCCTTCAATTTTTAAAGGGCTTAATTGTTTTGTTCGTTTGCTAATGTGCCAGCCAAAAGCCTCTAAAGTACCTTAATAAGCTTTTTATTTTAGCCTCCACAAGCCAAGCCAAACTATTTCAGTAAAACATTATGCTGATTCTCTGTTGAAAACTAAACATTTGCTCAGTTTAATACCAAGGAAACCTGAGCAAATGCAAAAAACTTAATGCCACTTGAAATGTACGAAAAAACTGGATAGTGGTATTTACTACCTGTGTCTTATAGACATTGTGACTGTACAGTATGTTATAGAACAGTGGACAGATGGAGTGGATGGATACAAGCTTAGAGCAAAACATCAGCAGAATAATTACACATTGGAAGGTCCGAACAAAAACAAATATATGTCAGGGACTACTGTGTCTTTCATTTTGAATTAAAGCAATACTGTTACACACTGTTCTATATTATATGTCCCTCTTGAGTTGCCATTGGGCAGAGAACGTAAGCCCAAAACTTTCTCTCCCTTACAATGCAAGAGGGACACACAATATAGAACTGTTACATTACAATTTCTTATGTCGAGAATTTGAATTGTATATGGTAGCTAATGCTGGCTTTCAGGCTGTGAAAATTAATAACTTGTAGGTACTCCATGTAACTGCTTTACTTCCACGGGGCATGGCTACCCTGATAAAATGCTGCACTTCACGATAATAACTGAACGCCAACACTACTATTGTTAAGAGGCTGTTGTGCAATAATTTTTTAAGATAGCAAGTTAGCACGAAGGTTGTGTTATCTTGTGAAACTCGACAACCTAAGGCATTCATTGGCACCAATAATGGTCATGCTAGCTTATCAAGAAGGGGGCAAAGTTGCGTAATGCTCCACAGTTTGGCTAAATTTTGGTGAGGAAACACTGGCTTGGCCATTTTCAAAGGGGTCCCTTGAACTTTCACCTCAAGTTATCTGTATGGAAATGGGTTCTATGGTTTACCCATGAGTCTCCCCTAAAGAGCCTCTGTATTTTTATAGGTGCCCATGTAAACAGATTAGAGCAACGCTGCTAAGGCATGGCTCAACTGCTGAACATCTAGAGATCTGGAGTCTTGCCTATTTTTTTTCCGTGCGATGCACACAGTTTTGTGCAAAAGCAGACAGTGAAAATGGTCTTTTGATGATCATATTGACATTGCTACAGTTAAATGTCTATATCTGTTACTGACATGACAAAAATATACATCCTTTTAGCTCTACCCTTCCTGTCTCCGTTTCAAAGTTAACACCCTCTGACAACGTTTCTGTGGACAAATTCCTCTCATTTGTTGACACAAGGCTTTACATTGTGAAATATCTGCAGGCCTGTGTTGTTGACAATGCAGTGGCTCGCACAGCTCCATATATGGGCCGAGAATCAGCTGTTTATTGTGGAATACTGTAGTTATAGCAGCAGAAAGCTCTGCAGCAGCAACGCTGTCCCTTGAACACCTTACACGTGCGAACAGCAGCAGTTCAGCGAGGCAGCTGTCACACTCTGCTCATGCAGGCAGTGTTGCCAGGGTGCTATAAACTTCAATAGCATAATATAATTGCGTTAATTCAGTGATAGTTTTTGGTTTTCAGGGGCCCCATCTCACCACCCCTATGAAAAATTTCTGGGAGCACCACTGGTAACTGATCAGAGAACTTGTAAATGGCAATAAACAACTTCATGCAATGATATTGGTATGTGTTTGTTTCTCACTGGCTCGAAGGTGTGCATTAAAACACTTAAACTCAAGTTTAATCTCTGTTTAAATGTAGCTACTGATTTGCAAATAAAACCCTTGTAACCATGGCAATATGAAGAGACAGCAGCAAGCCAAGTAAACAAACCACTTGCTTTGTAAAGTCAACTCACTCACATGATAAAAGCAGGATAAGATTATGGTATGACCAAGGTGAGCAGCTCAGAAGTGCATGGGTAAATGATTTTACCACAAGTCCCAGAACTCTGCCTTTGTTGAATTTTGTAGTTGTTAACCACAAACCTCATCAGATTGCTCCTGATTTGGTTTGACCCCTCCCCTCAACACATTGCCCTTGTTTGATAAACTGACTCAACTGACACAAAATAAAATATACAAAAGTTTTATTGTAATTTCACAGTCATTATTCACACGACATGGAAAACACAGGCAAGACCAATCTCCTTCTTTTTTTCGTGTTCACATACAGCAATATCAGTTCATGTAGTGGAAACACAGTCGAGGCACTGAGTGGCTGAATTAGTAGTGGTCATTACAATGACAAGAAAAAACAACCATGTGACAATACATTTTTGTTACAAGTGACAAAATACAAATCATTTTCAGATAGCAAACAAAGAAATGTAGTGTTTCATGAAATGTCATTTTTCAAAATAAGGTAGGTAGAACAATTTGAAGCCTCTTCTTCCACGGACTGCACAGCTGATGTAGATCACATGGTACACTGCAGGAAATGCAGGCAATGATGTCATTAATATCAACTAAACAAGATGTGCATTTACTGGTACAGGCCAGGGTCAAGTAAAAGAAAAGCTCAAGGAAACATAGGATGCATTTACCTCCAGGGATGAAGAGAAGGAATCCAGGTACAAAGAAAATAGCACTTGAAACACCTGTAGGGACAGTTTCATTAGTGAACAACACTGATCAACGCAACCACACATTCAGATAATGGTTCAACATTTTGAGAAATATGCTTATTTGCTTCCTTGTCAGGAGCTGGATGAGAAGATCAACAACAACAATTAACCTGTCTCTGTTCAAGGGTAACTGTCTAAAGCTCACTCATTGACATTTTATATCTTTTTTTTAAATCACTTCTAAAAAAATAAAGTGTAAAGATGGACATAAGAGTGTTTCCCAAAATATCAAACATTTCTTTTGAAAGAGATTCCAACAATGTACTGGCTGCAAGTATCCTCCTTTTATCCTTTCACAAAAGAATGATATTAAAGGCAACTACTTTTGATAGAGTTGCCTAACACAGAAAACAGACACTTTGCCAAATTTTCAACCAGCTTTGTATCATAACAATGTGAGTAGTATGTTTGATGAACTGTCTCAAACTTCCCTCCGTCTTGCCAGCACCCAGATCTCCCTGCTCACTTGTTCTAGGGCTGTTACTCAAACTACAGGAGATAAAATGAATTTGGCTCTTCTAAACTTTTGAAATGTTATCGGACTGAATGGATCAAATTTCGACAGTGAAGCAAGTCATTCTGTGTGGGTTGTGGCTCTCCAAAAATGTATCCACAGATTAACAGATGTCTCTTTCACAATGTAAGTCTAATGGGCCCAGTAGCATCTCGTGTTGACCTGTGAGTTGCACTTCCACTTTTGGCCACTATGTAAAATAGTGCCGCACTGCTCCTAGAGGCTTGGTCAAAACAGATAAGCTTGCATTAAGTCACCCCCCAGCAGGAGCGTTAATTAAGCC